AAGGTGGTACAAAAGGCAGCGAGGTGGCTACACTGCCTGGTGTATAGCACTCATTAAAAACTGGCTGACTCAGTGGAAAGATTCTCGCAGACAAAATGTCTGCCATCCTCAGAAGGGCTTCTCTTGGAGTGTGTTGCAGCTTTCGTGCTGAAAGCAAGGTGTTCTAGGCATCCTGTCCCCCCCTCTCCCCCGTGGTGCCTAGCATGGTGGCCTTTGCTCCTATGGATGGCACTCACTTTGGGCCCGCCTAGATTGACATCACAGTATCTGGACACACTCAGAACTCTCAGGAGCCCCTCCTCACCCACAGTGGAAGCCTCAGGCTTGCCATGTAAAGTCCTGGAAGCTCAGTTCCAGAACCTGGCAAGGCATCACTTCCAAGTCCTCTTTTGAATTCACTTACTTTTGCCTGGTGTCCTCAGTTTCCATTCCAGCTGGAGTCAGCCTCCCTGCTCATTCCTCAGGTAGAATATAGATTTGTTTTTTCTGTTTTCTTTTCACCCCTGGGTGCTTTCTTTTAGCTGGACTACCCAGGCTTTTTGTTTTGAGGGAGTTTATTTCACTCCATGAATCACCATGTATATTAGTCAGTTGTTATTGCAATAATGCAGCATAACGAACAGCATACATTTATTATTTTTGCTTATTGGTCTGTGGGACATTGAAGGTGGTTCTGCTTCACACTGTGGTTCTCCATGGGGCTCCTTCATCTGGTGCCAGAGGCCCTTGGGAGCATCCCCTTCTCCTGGCAGGTGGCAGAGGCTCAAGAGGCCAAGTCTGATGAAGCAGGTGCATTTAAAACCTCTGCTCACCTCACCTCCACTGACATTCCACTGAGCAGAGCATGCTCCTATGGCCAAGACCCTTGTGAGTGGGATGGAGATGTACATCCCCCCTTGTCTAGTGGGGGGGGCACTGCAGAGTCACGTGGCAAAGGACGTGGATACATAATGCTATTGTGGGGGTACTGAAGAGTTGGAAAGAGTAATCCAGTTTGCCACATTTGTGTCAGGCCCCATGCTCTGGGCCACCCCTGGGCAGTCTGGTAGAGCCATACATCTCCCATCCAAGGAGATTCATTCCCCTTTGGTGGTGAGTTGTCTTTCTGTGAATTACCAAAAGATGCCCCTTGTGGGCAGATCAGTGAGCAAAGGTGCTTCTTCCTTTAGGATGATACACCCCTAGTCTGGGTGCTTGGCTTGGCAAGTGGAGGATGGGCTGGAATTCAGCCCCCACTTGCTCCCTGGGGAGGCACCTAGTGCCAGGTCAACCGACAGGTCTGTATGCTGTGACCCTGGGCACACCCTGGGGGTGGCTCACAGGGCCTGAGAAAGCACTTTTTAAAAATTTTTTAACATCTTTATTGGAGTATAATTGCTTTATGATGGTGTGTTAGTTTCTGCTGTATAACAAAGTGAATCAGCTATACATATACATATATCCCCATATCCCCTCCCTCTTGCGTCTTCCTCCCACCCTCCCTATCCCACCCCTCTGGGTGATCAGAAAGCACCGAACTGATCTCCCTGTGCTATGCGGCTGCTTCCCACCAGCTATCTGTTTTACATTTGGTAGTGTATATATGTCCGTGCCACTCTCTCACTTCGTCCCAGCCTACCCTTCCCCCTCCCCATGTCCTCAAGTCCATTCTCTATGTCTGTTTCTTTATTCCTGTCCTACCCCTAGGTTCTTCAGAACCATTTTTTTTTTTTTAGGTTCCATATATATGTGTTAGCATACGGTATTTGTTTTTCTCTTTCTGACTTACTTCACTCTGTATGACAGACTGTAGGTCCATCCACCTCACTACAAATAACTCAATTTTGTTTCTTTTACGGCTGAGTAATACTCCATTGTATATATGTGCCACATCTTCCTTATCCATTCATCTGTCGATGGACGCGTAGGTTGCTTCCATGTCCTGGCTGTTGTAAATAGAGCTCCAATGAACATTGTGGTACATGACTCTTTTTGAGTTATGGTTTCTGAGAAGGCACTTCTGTCACAACTGAGTCCAAGCTATGCTGTGTGGTCTGGGGGTAGTTTTCTATAGTTGTCAATCCAGGCCAAAAAGCTTGTTTTTTTTTTCTTTTTTTGACCCTACCTTCAGGAAAGAAGTGAAGCCTTTTCCGTCCCAGAAATAGCCTTGCCAGCCAACCACATAGTCTAAAGCCAATGTAAAAGGAACAAGATGGTTACAAAACATTCATAATTGTAGAGTAGCCCATCTGTCTTTGAAGAAAGGCCTTCTTCTTCTTTCCCTGGGAATGACCACATAACCCATAATTACCCTCACATTCCAAAGTCAGAGGAAGCGCCACACCTCTCTGGACAGTGGTAATAACCAATTCTGACAATACAGTCTCCTGAGCGCAATGGTCTACACTGACCAGTCCTGCAGTGCAAATGAAGTGGGTAGTGTCCCCCACCACTGTCCTCCAGGATTTGTGGTTGGCAGGTGTGTGAGCGTGCCACGCTCACCTTCATGCTTCCTAATTATCGGAAATACAATAAATTGATCAGGACTCCAGTTTGGAGGCAAGACCCTGTCTTTGGCAGATGGGATTATTGGCTCTGCGTCCTTTACCTTCCCTACATCCTCATCCTTGCCATGGCTCATTGTGGGTGGGGTGTAGTCTCCACCCCTTGACTTCGGGCTCTGCTGTGTGACTTCCAGTGGTGTATTGGCAGAAATGAGTGGGTACCAGTTCTAAGCCCAGGCCTTGAGAGGTCTCAGATGTGTCTGATTTTTCTCTTATGCTCAGAGAAGACCTTCTAGCTATCTGCATCCCTCTTAGTCTTGGTCCTGGAATGAACACATGTGGAGTAGATATGAGCCATACCTCAGAGAGGGCCAAGACAGGCTACGTCCAAAGTTTGAGGCAGCACCACTCAGCCAAGCCCAGCCTGGATCTGCCAACCTCCAGCTGACCTGGGGACCCACAGACTTGCGGATACATGAGTAAAAATGAGTGATTATTACTAAGACTTGAGGTGGTTTGCTATATAGCATTATTGCAGCAACAGTTAACAGATTCACTTGTTTTCTAATCAAGTGACACAGTATATTGACCTTGGACATCACACAGGGCTGGGACATGGGAAGCACCCTAGCAGAAAGGCTACTGTCTTTCTGACTTGAGGGCTGGGATCTGCCTGAAGGAGAACGTGTGTGACTCAATTAAGATGCAATTAAGATCCTCCTCCATGGCCTCCCTTTTATCTACTGTCCTCATTATCCTGCTTCCTTTTCTTCTCACCGTGGGAATGGTGCTGCTATTGCATGCTGATGAGTTTGTCTGTGGCCCAACTTCTGAGCTGGAGATGTCTGGGTAATTAATTTGGATTTAAGCTCCTCTAGCCAGCGCTTGATAGACCCACGACTGAGTGCATTGGAAGGCCTTGATTTCTCCTGGGCATGTTTTGGGTACTTAGAGGTCAAGAGTCATTTGATACCTGTCTACCTACAGTCAGTCTCAAAGTGAGTTCTGAAAAATGTATGAAAATGTACAGTTGTTTCAAGTGACTTAGTTTACTCCTGGGAACCTCCCCCACTCCCCTCACATGCTCTGAAGTGTTTTGCATTTCATCTTTCAAATTTGGTTACAGAGCAGTTCTCCCTCACGAATGTATGAAAGATTTGCTGCGCGTGAGGCTTGGTTGGAGCCCAAGCAAAATGTAGGCACCTTGACACAAGGCCCCTGTTGAAGGAAGGTGATGAGCAGGTAGACATAATGTTGTAACTCCGAAAGACAAGTGGGAGATGAGCTCAAGAAGTAATAGCCCAGTTTCACACATAATTTCTGGACACACAACGTGCTTTCCGACTTTTCTTATTTCTTTGCCTTCTCTCTACCCGCTTTGAATCTTCTCTAAGGCCTAGTCTTTCAGGATTTCATCAGGGTTAAATGAAACCACTCATGCTCTGAAATCCTGTAGTGCTTACTAAAATGGCTTTCAAAATGTTTGCTGTGTCCCACAGTAAAAATTAAATTTTGCATCAGTTCTTAACACACACGCATACACTTTTATATGAGTCTAGTTTAAAGTTTCTCTCTTTGTCTTAACCTGGGTTGCCCCAGAAGTAGGCCTCAAGGTAAGGATTCATGTGCAAGTGGTTTATTTGGGAGCTGATGCCAGGATAGACCAGTAGGGGAGTGGGCAGGTGACCAGGGAAAGGAAGGAAGACGTCCGAGAGTGTATTATCAACAGGTGCTTAATCTCACTGGGGTGCCCTGGCAACAGTTTTTGTGGGAGCCACACTTCAAGTTGGCCCCCAGTGATCCTCGCCTCCTGCGTTCATGTCCTTGTATAATTCCCTCCCACGCTGAACTATGCATGTGGCCTGTGTGTCCAGTAGAACACGGCAGGAAGAAATGATGCTGTCCACGGCAGGCAGCATCTGAGATAGCCCGTTATCTCTACCTCCTGGTGTTCATGCCCTGTGTAATCCCCTTTCCTAGAGTAGGGCCACTTATAACCAACGAGAAGTGACTCAGTCCTAACCAAGAGAAAATAACAAAGGTGATGCATCTCACTTCCAATATTAGGTCACAAAAAGACTGTGGCTTTTGCCTTGCTTGTGTTCTCTTGCTCTTTCCTTCACTGGCTCTGAGGACAAACCAGCCCCCGTGTTGTGAGCTACCTTAACAGAGAGGCCCCCGTACTGTCTCCAGCCAACAGCCCCTGAGGCCCTAAGGTCTGCCAACAGCCTCACAAGTGAGCCTGGAAGGGGAACCTTCCCCAGTTGAGCCTTGAGATGACTGCAGCCCTGGCTGTAGCCTTGAGGGAGACTCTGAGTCAGAGGCACCAAGAGGCCGCCCACTAAGCTGTGCCCAGATTCCTAACCCATAGAAACTGTGAGTTAATACATTTTTTTAAGCTGCTGAGTCTTGGGGTAATTTGTTATGCAGCCGTAGATAATTAACGCAGCATCTGACTTTAGAAGCGAGGTCATAAAAGGCTTTGCTGTTTATACTTTGGGCTCTCTTGGATTACAGCCCTGGGGGAAGCCAGTCACAGATTGTGAGGACGCTCAAGAAGCCACACAGGCAAGTGTGTGTGGTGATGAACTGAGGCCTCCTGCCGATAGCCCGATGAGCCAACTTAGAAGCAGATAGTTCAGCCCCAGCCAAGCCTTGGACTAACTGCAGCCCCAGCCGACATCTTGACTACAGTCTCATGGGTCACCTGGAGCCAGACCACCCAATCAAGCATCTTCTGAGTTCCTGATCAACAAACATCGTGAGGTACTAAATATTTATTGTTGTCTCAAGCTGCTGTGTTTTGGGAAGAAATTCTTATGCAGTAGCAGATAACTAATACAGTGTAGGACAAGTGACTCAGTTATTCTACCCAAATGAGAGATACCCATCTGCCAGTGGATGAGGGCTGCTTTGAGGGCGTGTTAATTCACCTGCATGGATTTGTGGGCAGACAGGGCTTTAGTGGCCAGAGAAAGCCTGCAGGCAAAGAGGTGCAGGACCTGGCAGTTGGAAGTCAGTCCTGTGTGTACTCAAAGGTAGAGGTGAGGAGATTTGAGTAGGGGGGTTCCCAGGGCCTGCTAACTCTCAAAGTCAATTTAAATCTCATCTCTATTACTTCCCTCCTCCCAGGCAAACTTGGAGCCCCTACTTCCTTTTCAGAGTCTGGTTCCTCCGGGATGTCCCTGGTAGAAGGAAGAGAAGTCAAGCATCTCTTTCCATAATTGACCCCTCTTGGGTGGTCCCTTTGATGGGTGCTGGTGTTTCTTTTGCCGATGACTGGTTGTCGATGCTCTCTGTGACACAAGTCCAAAGGCGAGGCTTGCTTGTGAGGTGCATGTTTAGGTCCTGAAGGGCCCTGTGGTCATTCCCTGATGGAGACTGACCTCTCCCACTCCCCACTTGGCTTTCACCTTGGAGTCTATTCCGCAGCCTTCTGCTGCCTGCCTTCCTGTGCCTGGTGGGCAGCCCTGTTGAGTGGAGTACAGGAAAGACAGGTCCAGTCCAGTCTGTGATGTCAGCTTGACCTTTGGGGGACTTGCAGCATCAGCCTCACTAATCGGGCTGTTCCAGGTGCTCCTTTTCTGCCATGTGCCTCCTCTCTAGGTGTGTCCCTGCTTAGGTGGGCACAGCACATCCCTGGGGAGGTGAGGGGCCAGACTCCCCATCTTGCAGGAATCCCAGATCCTTACGGCTGACTCTTAATGCCTTCTCACGTGGCTTTGAGGTGGGGTGGGGAGAGGAATCACACTCTCATATCCAGCATGGCCTTCCAGTTTGTGGCTGCGCCGTGGGTCCTAGCTTCTGTTTCTGGAGGAAGAGTCTTGCCCAACACCCAGTAATACACATAAAACCCCCTTCTCAGTGCTGAGCAGTGGGTACTCCACAGATATTCATTTTCCTCCTTCTCAGTGTCAAGGACGGAACATGCAGCAGTGTGGTTGGCCTGAGGACCTGGGTTTAATACAAAAACGGGGCTCACAGAGGGAGGGAAAGGAAAGAACGTGTGCGTTCCTGCTCCAAGTGCAGAGTCTCACGTGGAGTGGGTATTCATGGAGCTGATTCAGGAGCCTTTTCAACAGAAAGCAAAGCATATAGAGAAACAGAGGTCTGGTGTCAGTCTCTGGTGCTTATGGGGGACATGAGGTGGTGGCCTTGCCTGGTCTTCAGTGGCTGCCCCCATGAGCCAGGGGCTTCCCCTTCCTGGGCACCAGGCAGCTGCCACCCTGCTTGCCTCTTTTCTGTGAAATGTGGCCAGACACAAGGCCCTCGCCACGCACCCTCCCTTCTGGAGGCTGCCCGGGCCCCCTCCCCTTGTCTTTCTTCCTTCCTTTCTTCTTTCATCCGTATATTTCTGTATCTACTACAAAGGTCAGAAAAACAAATCAATGAAAAAAGGACCCAATAATCCTGAGACCTGGCTCGGGGATGGGAGGTGGGGAGGGAAGCCGTGCAATAAAATGAAAGAGAATTTAAAAATTCCCTGAACAAGGCACAGCATGGGGTCCCGATCAAAGGGCCAGGCAGCTTCAGCTTCATGTGTGCAGCAGCTGGATGCTCTGAGGCTGGGGGAGAGACGGCCCCCAGGCCTTGGCCCCCCTCCCCACCTCATGCCCCACACACACAAGCACACGCATGCACACATGCACACACGCACGTACACTTCTCGGGCCATCACCTGACTGCTAAGGGAGATCTGAGGATGGGTATCTGGAGTCTGGGAGGCAGATTGGAGAAGGCATTGGGAGCCCGCTTAAATCTGCACAGTGGTCCCATTTTCCAAGGCTGTCTCAAGATCCCATCCACACGAGAGGGGTCAAATGCCCTTTGAGGACCAGACAAGAGTATTAATAGTGACTGAGGAATGGGATGTTACAAGTCCCTCCTGGCTTTTTCTGAACTGACCTTGGAAAAAGGTGAGAAAATAAAAACCCGTCAGTCTGCAAAGAGCTGAATCACCTTTTTAAAGTCCCTTCCTGTGAATAGCAGCTCTTCCACGAGGTTCTTCCTGATACCTACCACTCCCCCAGCCCTAGCCCTGGGGCTTGATTGAGCATTTTCCCCTTGAAGCACCCACTGTACACCAGTGTACACCACTCTCTTCCACCAGAGAGTGGAGGCACCTGGGGTGCTTTATCATTCTTCATCATTAGTCTGTTCCATTCTGTTCTAAGGGGGCCAGCAGTAAAGCAGATCAGGGGCAGACTTGAGCCATCCCCCCTTATTGGCAAGTGACCTTGGACAAGTGATATAACCTCAGTTTCCTCATCTGTAAATTGGGGATAATAAATGTAGTTCTTCTTTCGAACAGTGGCTCTTTGAATATTTAAGGGCAGGTTTTCTCCTCTAGGCTCAACAGGCTCTGCTGTTTTCACAGTTCTTCAGCTATGTTATGTAACTTGCAAAAATCCAAAAATGTTTTGAGCAAGAACGGCATCGTCAGAATAAGAATAGAGGCTCTGCCCTTTGGGGAACCTCACTCAGGTGTATATGTTCTGGTATGTTTGCTATCAAGTGACTCATTGTTTGATATGATGTTTATTGTACATCAGCGTAGAAATATGAAGACTTCCCTGTGTACATGGGTAGAGAAGGCAACATGTGTGTGTGTCTGTATTTGAGTACCTGTGTGTGTGCATCTGTGTGTCTGTATGAGTGCATGTGATTATCTTCCTGCTTCTTTCCAAAGAGTTTTGAGGTGGTTGGGTGATGAAAACAGAATAGCAAATGAATCATTTAATAATAAAATGGAATAAAGATAATGGAAGGGATGCAGAAGTAGGTACTTCAAGATTTCTGAGTTGAACAGATTAAACGTGTGCAGGAAATCCGGCTGTTTCTTGAAAGTTAAGGCTCTACAACAGAGCCTTATGGTTACCTTGTTTGTTTGTTTGTTTTTGGCAAAAATGGTTTTATTTCCTGACTCCTACTTTCTGCTTGCAGTAGGTCAGAGAGATGGTAGCTGGATCCAGGGAGATGAGAAATTTAAGTAGGCTTAGGAGTTGGCAGCCAACAGCACATTGGTTTTTTTTCTTTTTTCACCTACTTTTCTTTGTCTTTCTCTTATTTATGTAACAAAAAACCAAAAACAGAAACAAAAATCCTATGTTTGTAAGCCACTTTCCACATTATTCCACTAACAATTCTGTGTATGGCATAAACATTATTCTTCCCATAAACTGAAGCCCCAGAGACTTATGCCCATTTTATGGACATACTACAATTTATTTATCCATTCTCTTATTGATGGACATTTCAGCTGTTTCCACTTGGGACTTTTATAAATAGAGCTACTATGGACATTCTTGTACAGGTCTTATTGTGAATTTATGTTTTCATTTCTCTTGAGTAAATATGTAGGGGTGGAATCGCCAGGTCATGGAAGAGGTGAATGTTTCAATTTCAGTAGAAAGCTAAACAGTCTTCCACAGTGATTTTACCAGTTTACACTCCTACAAGAGGTGTCCAAGAGTTCCATCTTCCACATATCCTCACCAACCCCTGGTGTTGTCAGCCTTTGCTTGTAGCTATTCCGGTGAGTGTGTAGAGGTCTTGCACTGTGGTTTTGATTTTCCTTTCTTCGATGATTAGTGACTTTGAACACCTTTCCATAGGTGATCTGGCCATTGGAATATCTTCCTCAGTGCCCAAAGGAATGAGATACTGCTATTCACAGTAACAGACTAACTTCAAACACATTATGTTGAGTTAAAGAAGCCAGACAAAAAGGAGAACATACTGTATGATTTTGCATCCTGTAACTTTGCTGAATTCAGTTATTAGTTCTAAGTTTTTTGGTCTTGTTGTTAAGGTTTTCTCTACGTAGCATCATATTATCTGCAAACAGTGACAGTTTTACTTCTTCTTTTCCAGTTTGGATGCCTTTTATTTCCTTTTCTTGCCTAATTGCTGTGGTTAGGACTTCCAGTACTATGTTGAATAAGAGTGGTGGGAGTGGGCATCCTTGTCTTGTTCCTGAAGTTAGAGGAAAAGCTTTCAGCTTTTCAATATTCAGTATGATGTTAGTTTTTGGTTTGTCATATATGGGCTTTATTATGTTGATGTATGTTTCCTCTATACCACTCTATTGAGAGTTTTTAATCATAAATGAACGTTGAATTTTGTCAGGTGCCTTTTCTGCATCTGTTGAGATGATCATATGATTTTTATCTTTCCTTTTGTTAATGTGGTGTATCACACTGATTGATTTGCAGAATATGAACCATCCTTGCATCTCTGGAATAAATCCCCTTGATCATGGTGTATGATAAGAGGGGATAATTTTTATAATTTTGTAGGAAGTTATCCTTTAAGCCTACAGAAGCATTGTGGTGAACATTGGGTCATGAAAAGCTGTTCATGAGCAAAGCCTGCTTTGGTACTTGTTGAAATAGCAGTTTATGTTCATTTTGGTGGAGAGACATCTCTTCCTAAAGATAGAAGCCCAACTTGGGAACATTTTTTGCTTGTTCATTCATTCCTGTTCCCCTTCTTCCTTCCTTCCATCCATCCTCCATCCATCCAATATTTTCTGTGTACTTAGGCTGATGAATACTGTGTTCTGGGTACTGTGCTAGCTTCTGGAGATGAATTGGTATTTTTTTTCCTTTTAATCTGGGGATGCAATGGTGTTTTATTTGTATGCTCCCATCTCTGATTTCCCAGGACTTTGAAACATTTCTGGCCAGGGTGTGAGAAATATCTTTGCTTTCCTAGCTGGAGAGCATAGCTCTGCCTTTGGATATACACATGAGCTGAGGAAAGTTCCATAAGGCAGTGTTTTCTCAGCTTTACACTATAAGCTCCTCTCTGTCTGTGGTTAAGGAGTTTTGCCTGCCTGGGCTCATTTGTGCTGCCGCTTTGTCTGGTCTTTGGCACCAGAGGACTCCTGGAGGACCTGATGTAAAACATAGCCTTCCTCCCACCCCCACTAATTTAGACTTAATTAGAGAATAATCTTGCATTCTGAAATAGAAAAAAAAAAGAAGGTGGGGTACCGTAATAATCATAGTAATAATCTCTTACATTTGTATAGCTCTGTACCTATTCCAAGCATTTTCACATTAATTTTCCCTATCACCCACCAGTAGAAAGGTAAGTGATAGATATTATCATTATCATTTTTTATTGTGATAAAAGCCATATAACATGAGATATACCCTCTTCACAGAGTTTTAAGTGTGTAGTATAATATTGCTAACTATAGGTCCAGTGTTGTACAGAAAATCTCTAGAACTTTTTCACTCTATACCCATTGAACAGCAGTCCACTGTGTCCCTCTCCCCACAGCCTTGTCAGCCACCATTCTACTTTGTGTTTCTATAAGTCTGACTACTTTAGATACCTCATATAATTGGATTCATGCAGTATTTGTCCTTCTGTGACTGGATTATTTTTATTTGGCATAATGTCCTCAGGGTGCATTCATGTTGTATCATATGACAAGATTTTCGTCCTTTTCTTATGGTTGAATAAAGTTCCATTGTATGTATATACCACATTTTCTTTATCCATTCATCCACTGATGGACATTTAGGTTGTTTCCACCTTTTGGCAGTTGTGAATAGGGCTACAATGAACATAGGAGTGCAAATATCTTTTTGAGATCCTGATTTCAATTCTCTTGGATAAATACACAGAAGTGGGATTGCTGGATCATATATGGTAGTTCTATTTCTAATTGTTTTGAGGAACTTCTGTAATAGGGGTGGGGTGGGTGCAGGGTCGTTAACACCTGGCCATTAACACACGGCCCTTAGCAGTTCTGCTCCACCAGTGGTCAGCGTTGCTGTGGCCCATTTGTCTGGACTGAGGAGCCTGAGAGCCGGCTGGGTCCTGGGCACCCGGCTCCTTCAGTGGTGACGGCTGGGCAGGGTCTGGAGACCTGGCCCTGAGGGCGCTGCCAGCTGAGATCTGCTTCCTCAGCTGGGCCTGGGCACTGGCGGGAGGACCCAGATTGGATGTTGGATGAGTGCTCCCGGGCAGGGTGACTGGCCTGTGTAGAGACCCTCTCCTTTTAGCCAGGGCCTGGACCTTGGAGGGTGAAAGTTGAGCCTTGGGACCTTGAACAAGTAAAATGAGAGGTAATGATGTCACTTTGCTTATGCATTTGTTAAGTGTTAAAAGCTGAAAGGAGGCATGGAGAAAGAACTCAATGCCTCCCCTTCCATTTCTTGTATAATTCTCAAGGCCATGACTTTTAAGAGTATTACACCTTTATATAAAAAGTTGCGGGGCTTCCCTGGTGGCACAGTGGTTAAGAATCCGCCTGCCAGTGCAGGGGGCAGGGGACACGGGTTTGAGCCCTGGTCTGGGAAGATCCCACATGCACGGAGCAACTAAGCCTGTGTGCCACAACTACTGAGCCTGCGAGCCGCAGCTACTGAGCCCACGTGCCACAACTACTGAAGCCCATGCGCCTAGAGCCCGTGCTCTGCAACAAGAGAAGCCACCACAATGAGAAGCCCACGCACCACAACAAAGAGTAGCCCCCACTCGCCTCAACTACAGAAAGACCGCATGCAGCAATGAAGACCCAATGCAACCATAAATGAATGAATGAATGAATGGATGAATGAATGAATGAATAAATAAATGTTGCAGAACAGGGAATAACCTTTGTTTTGATGGAGGTTTATAGGAACATTGTGACCTGACTGACCTGACCTACGCGGACAGCTGCAAGAACAAAGGGTCCCACACTAAGAAGTTTCCAACAACTAACCATGCCCCTCCCTCACTTTTTCTATAAAAGGGCTTTGCTGAAAGGCTTCAGGGAGTTCGGGGTTCTTAATGCGTGAGCCACCCATCTCCTTGCATGCAGTAAACCTTTCTCTGCTCTAGACTCTGACTTTTCAGTATTGTTTGGTCTCACTGTGTGTTGGGCACACGGACTTGCATTTGGTAACACTCCCATACTGTTTTCTGTAGTGGTTGCACCATTTAGGAGGTAGATATTATTAATGCACACAGGAAATCCCATTGCAGTTACCAGCTAGACACACTACCCCACTAACTTCTGACATTTATGGAGCCTCAACAGATAGAATTAGCCAGGCAGTCCCAGAATTCTCTTGGGATGGGGACATTCCCATTAACTCTTAGCATCCTTGTTCACCAGCACTTCCAAAGAGCTGGCCTGGGAGCTGGAAATTTAGGGAGATAGTAGGTCGTTGGTGGCCCTTTCACCAACAGGAGGGAGTGAAGGAGTAAAAGACCCAAAGAGATAAAGTGACTCAATTAATGCTTCTGGCTGGGTCCAGAATAGATGGCAGAGCCAAGAATAGAATTCTAGATGATCAGATGGTACACATTTGTCTAATAGCAACTGACCTCATGTTGCAATGTGAGATTCTTATTTCAAAATAAAGATTTCAGTCATTTCCTGTTAATCTTTTTATTATTTATCATGTAGCAATGGAGTTTGCAGAAATGAGATGATGGCATATAAGGACCAGGCTTGAAGAGAAATGGAGAAATGATTCCTGGCTTGGTATATGATTTTAATACCAGGTTGGCCTGGAGCAGGTGTTATCAAAGGAGAGCCATGGCTGTAGGTGGAAAGTGGGAGTGTGGGGGGCTACTGAGGATCTCCTGCTACTCAGACTGAGAGAGCACTTGGAGACCTGAGTGGGCTAGAGCTGTCTGAGACAGCATAAAACTGGGTGGTGGTTGGATTTAAAAAGCAGGTTGATGTTCACTATAGCAGGAAAGGACCCTTGAATGGGGCAGTGCGGAAGACTGGAAACGTGGCTTGGAATAAAGGCTTGACTTGGAAGGTGAATTGACAAGCATCTGTCTAGAATGAAGGCAGATGTAGAGAAGACATTTGAAAGACTCTCAAGTCTTATGGCAGAGAGAATGAGACTCTATATTGAAGGCTCTAACACAATGCTTTGTGTGTAGTAGGCCTTCAACATATCTTGGCTCCTCAAAAGATGTTGGGTAGTAAAAATCGAATGAATCCAAATAAACACAGGGCTATTCTAGGTGAACATTTGTATAATGAGTAGAGGGATCTTTGCAATAAGGTGGTTAATGGCTTCTTCATTATAAAAAAAATTCTGGACACCCTGGTAGAAGTAGGGGTGCGGAGACCCAGAGTTCCTCTGCATGGCTATTTGTTATTTGATTTTCCCCTCAGTGAACTCATGAATCACCTTCTTGGAACTCCCTTGGTTTCATGTCACACAGGTTTAGAAGACACTAGATTAAATGATCTCTAAAGCCAATTCTAACTCTGAGTCAATGATTTGTATTATTAGCAGAATTCTTCATAAATTATCCTGTGTTTTATCTCTCCTTGGTTTGCTTTAGCACCTATGGTTTAGAGGTATAGATACCTGTATAGGTTTGGATGTCAGGGATTGTGTAATGGCCGTTCCATGGCCTTTTCTTGCAGAAGACTGTCCTTGGTCAGCAACTTCAGCAAGAATTATTCCCAGCAAGGCCTTGGTATGGATGTGAACGAATTGCTTTTTTCTCAGAGGTCTTTGAGGAGAACTATGGTATATGGCAAACATGGCCATGGTTACTCCCCTCCCCATATTTACAGTGTGACTTGGCAATTCCTTTCATCAGGATGTGGAGTTTATTTCCTTATGCTCTGAGTCTGAGATGGCTCTGTAATTTAATTTGACCAATGGAATGCGGTGGCAGTGACATGGTGCCTGTTTTGAGTATGATCAGCCATCATGTGACAACTCAGGTTAGAGAATGGAGATCATGTTGAATAGAGACAAGCCAGCTTAGCTGATGCCGTCCTTGGTCAGTTAGTTCCCAGCTGACCTGGCACCTGTCTGCAGAGGCATGAGTGAGTTGAGACTAGAAGAACCATCCATCTGAGCCCAGTTCAAATGGTCAAAACAAAGCATCATGAGCTAAATAAATTGTTGTCATTTTAAGTCACTACATTTTAGATGATTCGTTAACATAGCAAAAGTTAACAGGTAAAGCCCATAGAATGTACAAAGCCAAGAGTAAACCCTAATGTAAAATATGCACTTCGGGTGATTATGATTTGTGTTGTAGGTTCATCAGTTGTAACAAACTCATCACTTTGGTTTATGCATGTGTGGGGGCAGGGAGTATATGGGAAATTGCTGTACCTTCCTCTCAGTTTTGCTGTAAATCTATAACCGCTCTAAAAGAAAAAGTCTTTTTTTTTTTTTTTAAGTTAACAGATATAAAGAGTTGATCAAGAAAGTGACCAACAGCATCTCCAGAATCTTAGTGCAGTTGCCTTGGAGGCTCAGTATGACCCTTTATGGCAGAGAATGCTTTGTGCTCTGTAAACCATTTCATTTTCTTCCTGGTCATATAGGAATACTAAATCTCCAAGCCTACTTCCAAATGTCATGTGAGCAGAAGTAATGAGTGTCATTTCTGAGCTGGAGTGATTGAGTGTTCAGTATACATTACTCAGACTCTTTCTTTACTTCATTTGCCAGCTGGATGAAACCAGAGTGACATCAGAGACCATGATGGTAGAGCTTCGAGATGGAATCAGGCTGCTTTGAACAGGGTACCTCACCTGTATCCATCATTGAGGTAAGTTATTTATGGTATTTGAAGCTACTGAGATTTGGAATTGTTTGTTACAGCAGCTGGCATTGATTACCCTGACTAATACCTAGTTAGAGACAAGGCACAATTAATGCCTTAGGGCTCTGAGGGAGTTTATTTCCAAGAGATTCAATTTATTTATTATTTATTGTAAATAAATTTAAAAATTAGATAATTCACATGCTTCAAAATTAAAAAGATATAATAAGATTTGGAATGAAAAAAAATCTCCTCATCTATCCTCTAGCCATTGAATCTTTTCTTTCAAGGCAATGTTAGATATTTCCTTTGTTTCCTTCAGAGATATTTTGTGCATGTGCAAGTAAGTGAATATATATATTCCAAATGTATAATATATATACATATATATATATGTATTTTGCAAATGGTAGCATATTTTGCATACTGTTGTTTCCTTACTTAAACAAAAATTAACACTAATGGAGAACCTTCCTTATAGTACATAAACAGCTTCTTTTTTCCCCAACTGTGTACTATTACGTTGATAGACATATTATAATTAACTTAACCACCTCCAAGTTGGTTACCATTTAGCTTGTTTGCAAGCTAAATGCTGCAATGACCCCCATCCTTATATATATGCCATTGCTCACAAAAATGTGAGTTTACGTTAAAGAAAAATGACCAGAATTGGAATCATTTGTATTATTGAAGGAGGTTTCCAAATTTCCTTTATAGAAATTTTACAATTTATGCTTCTATCAGCAGTATATGAAAGTGCCTATTTTTCTACACCCTCTCCAACACAATATGATAATCAGTGTTTTGATCTTTCATGAGCCGATGACTCCTCTATTAGGAGCACACTGTGAATCTTTCCATATGTTTGAGTTGTTGGTTTGCTTTTGGTGAACTGTCTTTGTCATTTGCCCATTTTTATGTGCTATTGGGTTGTTGGTCTTTTTCCGTTGCTTTGAGTTGTTGAAATAGATGAGGTTCATGTTGAGAGGTAGAGGGAATCTGCTCTCAACTGAGCACGTAACTCAGAGAGCTCAGCCAGGAAAGTAACCATTGCCAATACATCTGGTCATGAGGAGAACAAAGGAAACTCTATCTTTGTTCAAGGTCACATCCATAGGACCTACCATGAGTCCTGGCACACAAGAAGTGCTTAATAAATATTTACTGAATTTCTTACTAGCAAATGAATGATTGCCAAATGCTGGAGCTTGGAGCTTTGGGTTTTCTTTTCTTTTCTTTTTCTTTTTTTTTTTGCGATGCTGAATTCCTTCCAGGACTTGGTTTCTGCCTCTGCAAATGGTTCCACAGCAGGGTCTTGGGTGTTGGTAGTGTAGGCATTAAGTATTCTTGTGCTACATCAGCTGGAGGAGAATGCCAAAGGATGCTTAAGGAAGGCCAGGGCTCTGGGATTCCATGTAGAGCTAAATGGTGACATGTATAGTGTCTGAGATGTCTCTCAATTCCCACTTGGTCCTTCATGTTACTGTAGCAGAATGGAGTGAAACGGGAGGTACGGGCAAACTTTATCCCCTGAGCCTGTTCTCCTGTGAACTCCAGCGCCTTTTTTCTCTTCCCCAACATCAAAACCACTTCTAGGAAAGGTTTCGCTATTGGTAACCTTGGTTTGGGTTTCTCCAGCAGCTGACTCTGAGACAAGGATTCCTGTATAAGCTATTCATTTGGAAAGTGAAATGGGCAGAAGGGAAAGTGAGTCAAAGAAGGGGAGGAAGCCAATGTAGAATGCATGGCACTCTAGCTACTGCTTTGGGCAACTGGCTCTTAACCCCATGGGAGAGGCTTGGGAAGCCACAGTAGACCCATGTCTCAGAGCTATCCCACCCAAGGGGTGAGAAAGCAGAGGTGTTTGTACCCTAACTCCAACCAGTCATCGCTTTTGACCTGCTGTGGAGTTTACAAAGTAGCGGCAAAACAGGGGCAAGGGAAGGCCCTCTGGCAAAGAGATGCCAGTGTTGGCAGCAGAGAGACAGGCCAGTGGGTGCTCCAGGTGGTTGGGGTGAGGGGTGTGGGCAGGGCACTGAAATCTTCTGCTCCAGCCATTTCTCCTGTAGCTTTGTGTCCAATCTGACCCACCCCATTCCTCCAACCCGTTTTCCTCCCAACAGCCAGAGTGACCTTTCTAAAATGAAAATCTGATCCATTCACTTGCCTATACTTAAGATGAAGCACCAACCCTTTAGCAAGGCTCACAAGGTCCTGGGTGATCCAGCTCTCTAGGCTGGTGGCTCACAGCTGCCCCCTAGCCCTGCAGGTTTCAAACCGGATGCATCTGTGGCCCCCATTCATCCCTTGCCCACCCGCCCGGCGGTGCTCCCTGCTGCACTGGCCTGTCTGGCACTCACCTCATCAACTTGTGATTGTCTGCCCACCTTGACTGGTCTCTGGGCTGCTCCAGCTGCTGTGAGCACCTCCAGGGCCAGGTAGGCCCATGTGGCTTCTGTATGCACAGCCCCAGGTGCCTGGTGTGCTACAGGCCCTCAAGTGCTACTGTAGAATGGATACGCGAATTTAATTGATGGAAAGAAAAACATCAGAGCAGGTAAGAGAAGATTTTGAGGGAAAGGGAACAAATAGGTATTTGCTAAGCACCTACTGTTACCAAACCAAAGTTGGGTTCTCTTGCCTGCATGCAGTAAAGCCAATCTACTGACAGCGGGCGGTGGTGAAGGAAAGTGCAGTGTTTACTGCAGGGCACCGAGCAAGGAGTCCAGGTAGCTAGTGTCCCAAAGACCCAAACTCCCTGAAGGCTTTCTGGGAAAGACAGGGTGAGGGAGGGAGGTTGCAGTGTGTGTGATCAGATCGTGGATGTTCTCCTGATTGGTTAGTGGTGAGGTAATCAGGAGTCAACATCACCAACCTCTGGTTCCAACCGGTCTGGGGTCTATGTGCTTGTGGTCAGCATACAGTTCACTTCTTCCACCTGATGGGGTTTCAGTATCTGCAAAACAGCTCAAAGGTTATGGCTCAGAATATTACCTATAGTCCTTGAGGAGGAACTAAAGGTCCTTGACTTTGTTTAATGCCTAAACTATTATTATTTTGTCTTGCTTGACTGTTTTCCTTTCTTTGTGCATGTTCTCACTTCTGATTACATTTACTCTTTGGAACCCAGGGAAGGCCTAGGAGGCTAAAGTTTTTCTACAGACAAGAGGTGGAGGACATAGGGAGGGGGTCTATACCTGGAAGGTCCCAAAGGGAACAAATAGGTATCTGCTAAGCACCTACAAGGAACAGGGAGCTTTGCTATCATTACTTTGTTTAATCCTCATGACGATCCTCTTAGTATTCCCGCTAGAAAAACAAGAAAACTTAGGCAAAGAGGAGTTAAATGACTCTTCCGGAGTCATACAGATGGTGAGTCCTGCAACCAGCTGCAAATGTTAATGTCATTGATGGGAAAGCCCATGCACTTTTTTGAGACACCAGTTTGCTTGTAATGATGCACTCTCTTTGTACGCTGGAAGGTCAGTCCTATAGATGGGAATCTTTACTCCTCTCGGTCAGGATGCCTATCCCCTCTCTGGGGCACTAAGGCCACACTGGGATAAGGGCAGCGGAGGCACAAGGAAACCTCGCCCTGCCCCTCCTCCTCACCTCGCCGTCTTCCCTGGAGTTGCTGGCAATGCTTGGAGCCTCTCATAGTTCTGAACATCAGCATTTCTGTTATCACACGTTATCAGCGGCAGGTGTCCCTGGGACAGAGTGCTTATTGGAATCTTCCAGAAACCACTTATCAAGTATCCCACACCAGAGAGGTCCCGGGCCTCCGGAAACAAGCCCCTTCCCATCAGCCTGAGATGGAATTAACCTCCCATAGGACCCTGTGCAGCCTTGATGAACCAATCACAATTGGTTCCACTTTGAGTTTCCATGGACTTTATTTTGTTTTTCCTCCAGCTCTTGCGGCTGTTGCATTAGGCACCAGCTCCGCAAGTTGCTTAGAAACTGCTTTGTGTCAGCGGGCTCGTCCAGGTTCCCATGTGCAGGCAGAGTGATGAGCACCACTGTTTTTTTTTTTTTAAATACAGACATATAATTAAGAAAAATGTTCTGATGTCTGCGAAGTCTGGCTGGCAATGAACAGCCAGTGAGAAAGGCCTCAAGGTGGAACAGCTGGGGATTTCAATGAGAAAATGAAAAAATACCTCCATTCAGTCCTCTCTCTGTAAACTTAGTGTCAGTGCCAATTTTAGGTGACTCACTTATTTTTTTTTTTTTTCCCCTCAACTCTTTTCTTCTCTGGCTCTGCCCAGTCCTTCAGAACTAAAGATGTTACTTAAGGGGTAGATACTTCAACTCCATGTGTTACTATTCTGAACACGCAAAAGAAGAGAAAAGAATATGCAGATGGCAGTGGACATCTGTTACGCTTGTCAGCCAGCCTCCCTGTACCCTTCTTCTGCTAACAGCACTTTGATTTTGCTTTGGGATGCCACTGCTCCCCTACTCAGGGCCACAAGGTTTGTGAGGGTGACTCCACCCAGCTGCAGGGAGCAGACACAAGACTCAGGCCAGGCCTGGGGGGCTGGTTCAGGGCTGGCACATGACCCTGGAAGCATCCATCCTGGGACTTGGTTGAAACTCTGGGCAAGGTGGTATTTTCTTTCTGCTGGAGTCACAAGCCTGGGAGGGTAGATACCTGTTCTGCTGGTGGTCTTCGTTGTTACCACATGGGGAAGACGTCTTCACTGAGAGTGCGGCCAAAATAGAGGATGAAGTTAAGAGATGGAGACCACATTGTTGGAGCCATTGGATCCGGCCTTTTCAGTGAAGTGAGTCCACAGATTTCTTCTCTCCTCCTTTGTTTTTGCTTTAGCCAGTTTGAATTGGGCTTTTATCATTGGCAGCTGAAATAATCCTGGAAAGTAATTGTGCCAGTCCCTTACTCCTTCCACCAAAGATCTGCTTCCCGCCTTCCAAATAGAAGCAGGACAGAGGACTTTGCCTTGTGGGGGTCCCATTAAGGTCTTGATACCTACTGGTGC